AGCTCCATAACATAGATTTATAATTTTTTTTAATGCTTTTGTCTTTTAATTCCTGTAGAAAATAAAAAGCGGAGCTGTAAACTAAAATTATAAAAATACTGGTTTTTGTATCTGCCCTTGTATTTATCTGTACCAGAGATATTTATTCCTTCATATGCGTGCAAGTCATTGTCTAGCATTCTTTCAATTCACTTGAAGGACTCCTTTTAGCATTTCTTGTAGGGCACACCTAATTAAGGTCTCTAAGCTTTTGTTTATCTAAACATATCTTAATTTCTCCCTATTTTTGGTGGACAGTTTTGTAAGCTATCAGCACCACGTTTTAACCAACCGAGCTAACCAGCCAGCCCAGTTTCTTCATATATATAATCATCAATTCACAGGTTTTTTCTTTCAACATTTAAAGTTTACCATCCTACTACCTCTGGCTTCCATAAATTTTGGTGAGAAATCAGCTAATAATCTCATTGAAGATCTCTTTTATATGAGTTAATTCTCTCTTACTGCTTTCAAGATTTTCTTTTCATGACTTACCATAGTTTTAATATATAATGTGTCTTGGTGTGGTCTATTTGAGTTTATGTTATTGGAGGTCATTGAGCTTCTTGGATTTGTAGATTCATGTCTTTAATCAAATTTGGGCAGTATTTAGCCCTTATTTCTTCAAATAATCTTTCTGCCCCTTTCTGGGATTCCCATAATCCATATGTTGGTCCGCTTGATGGTGTCCCACAAGTCTTTAGGTCTATTCATGTTTATTCATTCTTTTTCCTTCTGCTCCTCAGACTGGATAATTTTAATAGTTCTATCTCCAAGTTCATTGATCTTAGTTGTTGCACTTTCCAGCGCCATAATTTCTATTTGATTCCTTTTCATAATTTTTACCTTTTAATTGATATTCTCATTTTGTTCAAACATCACTTTCCTGATTTTATCTCTTTGTCCATGTTTTCCTTTCACTCTTTGAGCATATAGTTGTTTAGCCTTTGTCTAGTAAGTCCAATGTCTGGGCTTCCTCAAGGATAGCTCCTTTCAACTTATTTTGTTCCTTTGAATGAGCCATATTTTCCTACTTCTTTGCATTCCCTGTAATATATTTGTTGAAAACTGAACATTTGAAAATCACAATGTGGTAACTATGGAAATTAGATATTCACCCTTCCCCAGGATTTGTTGATGTTGTTATTTTTATCATTGTTACCAAGGTCTGTAGTAGTCTATATGTTTAGTTACTTTCAAATTGTAAAAAAAAGAATTGTTACTATTGAAGGCTATAGTCATCCATATGTTTAGTCACATTTTGAAACTATCCGCTCCCGCGCCTCGCTCAGCCAGTGAGCGGGAACCGGTCTATACGTGGGATCCGAACCCTCGGACGGGAGCGCTGCCGCGCTTCCCAAGCGGTGCACCATCCAGTGCGCCACCGGGCCGGCCCAATTACTTTCAAATTGTAAAAAAAAGAATTGTTACTATTGAAGGCTATAGTCATCCATACGTTTAGTCACATTTTGAAACTATTTTTTGCAGACTGTATTCCTTGTTATGCATAGTCACTGAAGTCTCTGTTCCTTCAGTTCATGTGCAGCCGTTTTGACAGATTTCCTTAAATGCCAGGAGCTTAAAAAATAAACACACACACACATCTCCTCCAGTCTTTGTAGATCAGCTCTGTACTGGTGCCCTCCTTAAACACTTAGACAGCCTTGCACTGAGTTTAGGGATCACTTTTAAGCAAGAGCTAAGGGTCTGCTCAGAATTTTTCTGAGCATGTTTTGCCCTGGGCTTGTCTGTGGACTTCTAAACTCCTTTGTTTACATGGGTTGTTTTAAATATCTCAATTTCTCAAAGAATCTCCCTCAGTTTTTCCTCCCAACACTTAGGTGGTATATGTTTCGACTATAAATATATAATAGGGGGCCAGCCCGTGGCTCACTGGGGAGAGTGTGGTGCTGATAACACCAAGGCCACGGGTTTGGATCCCATATAGGGATGGCCGGTTAGCTCACTGGGTGAGCGTGGTGCTGACAACACCAAGTGAAGGGTTAAGATCCCCTTACCGGTCATCTTTAAAAAAAAAAATAAATTAATTAAAAAAAAGTGGTGCTGACAACACCAAGTGAAGGGTTAAGATCCCCTTACCGGTCATCTTTAAAAAAAAATAAATAAATTAAAAAAAATATATATATATATATATATAAAATAGGCCACCTATATAATAGCACCAAGTGTCTGTGAGGTTTTGGGTCTTGCAGTATTTTTGAGCAATGCCCCAAAATGCACCTTTTCAGCCTGAGTTCTGAGTTATGTGAAACAGACACGGGCACTGTCAGTCCTTCACATAGCTCCAAGACAAGTTAAACCAGATATAAGCAATAATTTGTAAATAAAGTCTGCTTTGCTACCATTCGAACCAGACACTAGGGCCTCACAATGGGAACATGAGCTGTTGTTTCAAACTGCCACTGGGCTTCAGAGGAAATGGGAGAATGGACAGGGTAAAAATGCGACAGAGCTTTCCTACAGTTTTCAGTAGTCTTTTTCTCGATTCAGCATTTGCTTGGCTGTTGTAAATCTTTAGTTCTGACCATTTCATCTTGTTCTTTGATGTTTTTGTGGGGGGACAAGAAGTTGAATCTGCTTACTCCACCATTTTGCTAATGTCACCCTATATACTTTTTTTTCTTTTTTTGTCCTTTTTGAGACCGGCCGCACCACGCTCAGCCAGTGAGCGCACCAGCCATCCCTATATAGGATCCGAACCCACGGCGGGAGCACTGCTGCGCTCTCAGCGCCGCACTCTCCCGAGTGCGCCACGGGCTTGGCCCCCCTATATAATTTTTTAATGATTTTTTTTTCCTAAACATCAAAACAGTTAAAAAAAAATACCCACGGCGGGAGCACTGCTGCGCTCCCAGCGCCACACTCTCCCGAGTGCGCCACGGGCTTGGCCCCCCTATATACTTTTTTAATGATTTTTTTTTCCTAAACATCAAAACAGTTAAAAAAAATTTAAAAATTGTAAAAGTGGGTGTATCAAAACTCACATTTAAAGTATTTTTAAAATTTTAAAAAACTTAATAAAAATTGTGGCTAAAAACCACAAAATTTACCACCTTTAAGTGTACAGTTCAGTAGTGTTAAGTACATATGCATTGGTTGTGCAATAGATCTCAAGAACTTTTTCATCTTGCAAAACTGACTCCATACCCATTGAATAAGTCCCTATTTCCCACTCCCCACAGCACTTGGTGACCAGCATTCTACTTCCTAGAGTATTTTCTCTTTGTAACTGCCTTATTTCACTTAGTATAATGTCTTTGAGATTCATCCATGTTGTAGCACATAAGATTTCCTTCTTTTTATTTTCATTTTTACTCTTGGCTTTTCATCTTTAATACATTTCCAGCTATTCTCTGTTGGGCACCCTGTAATTTCACCTTCAAGATGACTTTTCTTTACCCTTCAAAATCTTTCCTAAGTTCATTCAACTTGTTTCATATCTTCCTGTTTAGTTTTGTTCTTTGGTCCATATCTGTCCTGGTTTTGTAATTTCTTATTTGAGATTTTTTCCCCCCATATCTGAAAGTTTTATTTAAAGGTATTTATTCCTTCCTTCTTTAAGGCTAAATAATATTCCATTGCATGTATACACATTTTCTTTATCCATTGATGGACATTTGTATTGCTTCCACTGTTGGGTATTGTGAATAGTGCTATAATGAACATGGGTGTGCAAATATCTCTTCAAGACTTTAAGACCTGTGGGTTCCGCATCCATGGACATGGAGGGCTGACTGTACATAAAAATGTGATTGCTGGATCATATAGTATTTTTTTTTTTTTTTGAGGAATCTCCATACCGTTTTCCATAACGATTGCACCATTTTACATTTCTACCAATAGTGCATGAGGGTTCCAATTTCTCCATTCTCACCATGTTATTTTCTGTTTTTCTGGTAATGGTCATCCTAATAGGTGTGAGGTGATATCTCATTTTACAGTTTTCTTCTGCCTAGTGTTTCATTTATTGGGGAGATAATTTTCATCAGCTGAAATATTGTCTCATTTTAATAGCTTTGTATGATATCACGTGCTGTTTTAAGTTCATTTTGAGCTTTTTTAAAAAATCTGAAACAATTTCAAACTTACAAGCTTTTCAGTCTTTCCTTTTCATCCATAAGCTTGATAAGTTTTTAAAGAATGCAGACCATTTATTTTGTATTTAGGTTTGACTGATGCTTCCTCACAATTAGATTCTTGTTATGCTTTCTTTCCCCCAATAATGCTGCTGCATTCTCAATGAATCATTGAAAGGCGCGTGATGTTGGTACATCCCATTACTGGTGACGTTAACTTTTGCTTGGATAAGGTGATATCTACCAGATTCCTTTACTAATTAGTATTTTCTCCTTTGCAACTAAGTATTTTGCAGAACGATACTTTGAGACTATATTGTTCCTCACAAACTATTAACTGCCCATTTTACCATTCACTGATGACACTGCCTAAATCTAGGAATACTGTGATGATTTGCCAAATAGTGACTTTCTAAGTTCATCATTCTTTCTACATTTAATAGTTGGTATTCTACTCTGAGGAAGAGCTTTTCCTTTTCCCTCACTGATTTATTTATATTAAAACATACCAAATCAATAGTATGTACAATACCTGCTCATAATTCTTAGGAGATGACCTGTGAAGCACTTAGAAGGGGCAATGATGTGTACAGCTTATTCACAATTATTTCAGCCAAATCACAATAACAACAACACAGACAGACAGAGACACACAAACTAAGAGTGTTAGAGATCTGATGGAAAATGTTACCAATCATTCCATCTAGGTGAGCAGCACATGGGAGATCCTTGCAGTATTTTGTTTTGTTTTTTTGCATATCTCAAAATTTTCAACATAGAAGGTCAAGAATATATGGCAGTTTTAATTGAAACATTGTGAAAACTTCCACAAACATTTGACAACAATTAAAATCAACTTACAGATTTAACTTATCAGCATTTGAATATATTCAAATTTTATTATTGTTTATTGAAATTTAACACTAGCATCTGTGCAACAGTCCCCTGAGGCGGGGGAGAAGACCAAACATAAATATTACACATTAAGAACAGTACCACATTCAACAAGACTATTTTGATTCAGTAAACCAAATCTGACAAACCAGCCAACTTAAGGTGAATGATTCTAGTTACAGGACATAAGTGAACTTATCACTTAGTAAACATTACAAATAATATTAAAATGTTACACAGATTTACAAAAGTTCAGAATTTTTCCCTAAGACTATATATATATATATGTATAGAATAAAATGTTACACAGATTTACAAAAGTTCAGAATTTTTCCCTAAGACTATATATATATATATATGTATAGAAAGAGAGAGAGAGAGACAGGTTCACAATATAGAAACCTGTACCTTACAGCACTCTGAGGTTTTAGCAAAGCACACATTATAGACACATTTGCCATACAGTGCAATTTTATTGTGTAAGACATGAATAATAGTGCACTTAAATCTAAGAGTCACATTCAAATATATCAAGAGTACAATCCAAATACCCGGCTATTGAAGAAATACATTTTTTTTTTTTTTAATAAACTAAGGTGTGCAAGTACAACATTTTTAGTGTAGATGTAATAGATCTGTAAGGATTCTAAACAGTGGGATTCAGGGTGTATTTGTGTAGAGTAAATGACTTCTCCAAAGATATGTGCATTTTAAAAGTGAAGCAAATGTCTTGTCTAGACAGATGCAAGCAGTGTTGCACAACTCAATCTTATTACAAATCACCAATACAATTAATCCTTAGACTCACAGATGGTTATACAGAATGGCTCTAAAAGTCAGTAACCTCTCATTAGGAATTACTTTTCAGAACAATGTGGTGTCTCCAGTGAGCCCCATCATCTTCCACTAACCTGAGCACAAATTACTGTTCCACAGTGTAGTTCAAGAGATAGTACACTAGGTTTCTTAAAGGAAATTTAGATAACAAGTTCAGACTTTTTAAAACCTAGTCCTAGAGTTTCAGAGGGTCTTTTTTGGGGCTATAGGTTTAAAGGAAGAAGATGCTATGGACAGTGGATTATAAAGACTGCATGAAGGTAGAAGTAGTTTTATTCAACAAAATAGAAATTAGAAAACACATACTATAAGAAATTTAGCATTTCATATCATCTGAGAATAAATATAAATGCAGAAATCAGTCTTTTAATGTTTTTTGTTATGATGATGAATAACGTAAAAATACTATCTGGTAATAATTTAGGATACCAGCTCTGGAGAGGACAAAAAGATCTGGCCCACGTTAAAGAATAAGAAGGAGCTAATCCATGTTGTCTTGAGGTATCGCACAGACCTGTTTCAGATGTACTAAATGACTTCATTCTCTGGTTAATTTCAAAGCTTCCAGAATAGGCATCAACTATTGCAAATATTGCCCATTTTTAGTCCAGGAAATATCTTTCCAATAAAGACTGCTCATAATACCCTCATGTAATTTTCATTTGTTAAATCTGTAAGTGGGCAGATACCAAAACCTTTGCCCCAGGTTAAGGTCTGATAATAAGTGAACCTGACGACCTAGTTCAGACTGACAATTTAAACAGCTGTTTCTGAAACCAGATAACTACATGCATGTCTTTAAGCAGATTTTTCAAAACGCAACAAAACGTTACTCCTATTTTTCATGTCAAGAGACTAAACTACTGGCCAAATTTTTTCCATGATATTGATTTTTTATTTAACATAAACCAAATGCTAACTGAATCAAAGACTAAAATCCCACTAAATTTCATCTAACATGAAAAGCAATGGGATTCCACCCCTAAATCAGGCCTCAAAGTTCAAAGAAAAATTTTTAAATCCCCCAGATGGGATTTTAAATGAATGTCCATTATTGTCTTCCCAAGTTTTCTTGAAAATCATTTAAACCCCTTGCTTTGACGGTGTAAGTTTTCTAAGAAATAAAATACATTTATAGGCTGTTTTAAACCTATTGGATTTTACTTTTTCTGCTTTTCTTCCCATTTAATAAAATCAAAATCAAAAATTATAATGAAACAAATGACTACTGCAAAGTCCTTCCATCAAAAAAGCTTCAGGTTTTTACATCATCACCCAACTACATTCTTCTGGTTGGGATCTAAGTCTATGGGCCCTTGTACTGTTGACGGAGCCTGCCGTGACCCTTTGTGTTTTTACGTTACTCTGTGTGGGCCACTTTATGCACCCACAGATGAAAACCAGCCTTTGCTACAAAAGGATGGGGACAATTACTGCACACGAACGAGACTTATCTCACTTGGTTACTAGGGGCTCCCATGGGGCAATGTGTCTGCTCCCTAATTCTGCCACCATTCTCTTCACTGGAGTTTCTTAATGCCACATTTATCAAAGGCAGCTCTCCATACTTAATGTTTAACAAGTACGTTCTCCTGAATGCATCCATTTTATTTATTCTCCTCCTCCAAGGCAGGGGTAACTTCACTGAATTACCAAGAACCCTCTTCAGATTATATTGATAACACACTTGTTTCTGACAGTTTTCAGCTTTGGGAAAACCCTAGTATTTGCTTTATTAAATGAACCGTTTGAAAGTGCACTGACACCAAAGTTTACTTTTACAACCTGTAAACAAACCTAAGGTTTGAACAATCCCTAACTATAAATTAACACTAAAATGCAAACTTGCCAAAATGGTGAAGACTGCTGCCTTGATATGAGAAAGGAAAAGAAACTGGAATACTACTATGGTCCTCTGACTTGCACACATAATGTGTGTCGGGAAGACAGGTATAGACTGACGACATACAATTTCTCCACGACCAAGCCTGATGAAACTCCCAAAGTGTCCGCCCATGAAAGTCCTATGGCCAATCAACATAAGCAGTGGGAGTCACTTACAGAGAGTAACTTAAAAATCTCTAGATGCTTTTCCTTATGGGTCTATTAACTGAGAAGAAAAAGGTTCCTTCATATTAAGTCTTGAGACAGTAGGAGAAAACAAACAGGTCAGCTGCATGAACAGATACAGCAAGCAACTTTGAGGAGCCATTAAAAAGCTAGGCTGTTCCTCTTTTACTAAAGCTAC